AATTTGGGAAATTTTTAATCTAGGGAATTTTGGATTTGGGGAATTTTCAATCTGGGGAGTTTGAAATTTGGGGAGTTTTGGATCTGGGGAATTTTGAATCGGGTTTTAGGGACTTGGAAATTTTTGAATGGGGAGTGGTGTGACCAATATTACTGCTGTCAAGAAAACGTATAGCGTTCATTTTTCTGTTCTGATAAATTGGAGCCTTATCTCTGAACACCTAAGTCACTCTTCACGCGCCAACTCGCGATATCTTTATCTCGCATTTTTCCGAAAGAGCGTTGAGAATGACTATTAGAAACACGTGTTAATTGTTGGTAGCTGCAGCGATAAACAGCCAATTCCAAGAATAAACTATTGGAATTACAGCTGTGTCATGTGTAGGGACGGCAGATATTTCGCATGGACGCTAATGGGAGTCGAAATTACAGAGGCGTTTACTCGACACGTTCTCGTCACAGACAGTTAACTGCAACGTTGCTGATGCTAACGTCGTTCCCCTTCAAAATGAAATATTATTCTTGCTCCGTCTTCGTTCACAACTTTCTCCGATGGAAGGTACAACCTGCTGTCATCTCGTTGCTTCCGTTTGTTCTTCCACTTCGAAAGCTTACAATCACACTGCCCTTACAAATTCACTCTCACAACATGTTGAGCTGGCTTTTCATGCAAAACGGGAATATTGGAAGTTATTTTTATCTTTCTTAGTTTGTGCTTTTAGATCAAAACTGGAACTTTGGGATTCTGGGGATTTTTATGATTGAATTTCAAAATTCCCCAAATTCCAAATTTCCCAAATTTCCAAATTCCCCAGATTCAAAATTCCCCAAATCCCAAATTCCAAAATTCCCCAAATTTCAAAATTCCAAATTCCCCAAATTCCATCCAAAATTTCCCCAAATTCCAAATTCCCCAGATTCAAAATTCCCCAAATTCCAAAATTCCCCCAAATCCCAAATTCCCCAAATCCCAAATTCCCCAAATCCCAAATTCCCCAAATCCCAAATTCCCCAAATCCCAAATTCCCCAAATCCCAAATTCCCCAAATCCCAAATTCCCCAAATCCCAAATTCCCCAAATCCCAAATTCCCCAAATCCCAAATTCCCCAAATCCCAAATTCCCCAAATCCCAAATTCCCCAAATCCCAAATTCCCCAAATCCCAAATTCCCCAAATCCCAAATTCCCCAAATCCCAAATTCCCCAAATCCCAAATTCCCCAAATCCCAAATTCCCCAAATCCCAAATTCCCCAAATCCCAAATTCCCCAAATCCCAAATTCCCCAAATCCCAAATTCCCCAAATCCCAAATTCCCCAAATCCCAAATTCCCCAAATCCCAAATTCCCCAAATCCCAAATTCCCCAAATCCCAAATTCCCCAAATCCCAAATTCCCCAAATCCCAAATTCCCCAAATCCCAAATTCCCCAAATCCCAAATTCCCCAAATCCCAAATTCCCCAAATCCCAAATTCCCCAAATCCCAAATTCCCCAAATCCCAAATTCCCCAAATCCCAAATTCCCCAAATCCCAAATTCCCCAAATCCCAAATTCCCCAAATCCCAAATTCCCCAAATCCCAAATTCCCCAAATCCCAAATTCCCCAAATCCCAAATTCCCCAAATCCCAAATTCCCCAAATCCCAAATTCCCCAAATCCCAAATTCCCCAAATCCCAAATTCCCCAAATCCCAAATTCCCCAAATCCCAAATTCCCCAAATCCCAAATTCCCCAAATCCCAAATTCCCCAAATCCCAAATTCCCCAAATCCCAAATTCCCCAAATCCCAAATTCCCCAAATCCCAAATTCCCCAAATCCCAAATTCCCCAAATCCCAAATTCCCCAAATCCCAAATTCCCCAAATCCCAAATTCCCCAAATCCCAAATTCCCCAAATCCCAAATTCCCCAAATCCCAAATTCCCCAAATCCCAAATTCCCCAAATCCCAAATCCCAAATTTCCCAAATCCAAAATATCCGAAATGAATTTCTCTTCGTTCGAAACGAAAGATCCAAATACAGTCCCCCTTTGACCGACGAAAGTGAAACTTTTCGCAAGGTATCAGTTTCGGTGGTGTGGTAAGAGGAGGATCGAACTACATCGCTTTGAACACGTTCCACATTTCATTGTCTACTCTGTTCAATGAACAACGAATTCTACCGAATGTAGGTAATTACCAAAGGAATTACAACCGCAGTGGGTTGAGTATCCGCAAACCGTTCGAGGTCGATTGTCGATTGCAAGAACTATAGGGATTCCATTCTCTTTCCCGTTCAGATCGATTTCCGTAGTTACGTCGTAAAAAACGTAACACGTTCAAGACGAGCTGCTACTCAATTTCTTCGATGCACTTTCATCGTCGTTTACCGCGATCGTTTGCGAACGTCTTCCGGGACGAACAGCCGCGGTCGAGGAATCGAATAAACTTTTAGCTTAACATTCTGATGAACAATGAAGCATCTATTTCATTCGAACGAATTAGGTCGAGTACTTTTATTGGACATTTCGCTCGGTAAACTACCCGATTCAATGGGAATTCAGATATTCGGATAGCCGATTCTGAACAGTCTTACTATTTCCAACGTTTTATTAACTTTCAAAGTTTTTCATTTTACGTACGGACATTTTCGTTATCTAGGAATTTAGACACACCTGGTGCGTCTAGTATGTATACGATCTCGACTCACCAGGTGCGTCGTCCTGTTTACATACGTATAATGTTGACGCGCAAGGTGTGTCATCAAGTATGTACACAATTCTGAAACAAGTGCGTCATCAAGTATACAGTATTGACACATATGGTGCGTCATGGGATGCACATACATGACGCATAAGGTGCGTCATCAATTATACAGTTTTGACACATATGGTGCGTCATGAGGGGCATATACATGACGCATAAGGTGCGTCATCAAGTATACAGTCTCGACACACATGGTGCGTCATGAAGTGCACGTACATCTGACGCATAAGGTGCGTCACTAAGTATACACACAATTTCGACATACAAAAAGCAATTAAATAAGTGACTCTTGATTAATTATCGCGATACAAGCATGTACTAACCTATTTCCGAAATTTCTGTTACAGTTAAGGCACACAAATACTGCGAATCGAACGGTAGTTGGTTTCGGCACCCAGAATCGGGTCAAGTTTGGAGCAATTACACGACCTGCGTCAATTTAAAGGATCTCAGCGTGAGTAAATAAACCGAGTACCCCGATACTTTGATATTTCACCCCGCGGTCGTTTTACATTTTAAGCGAATCATTCGAACGACCGTAATTTCCTACCTAATCGAAAAATAACTTTGCACCTGCTTTCGTTAGGCACAATAAATATTATCGCAACGGTGGCAGCGTTATATGTCGAAATAAATGGTCGCGAATAGAGGGAGGTTAAAATAGAAACGCGTTTCGCGCGAAAAGAAAGACACTTTGATAAAGTCGTAGCTGTCACGGGTGATAAGATCACGAACGAGGTCCTGTCGTTTCTTCGGCGACGTTGAATTGCAGTAAAGGGATGAAGGATCATTCTCATGATAGTAATGTGATTTGAATGGATGAGTAAGATCCGGGTTCAAGCAGGACGACGGTGTAGAGGTTGAAAGGAATACGTGCCGGGTTAACAGAAGTATATGTATCTGTATAGGTACGTGATAACAAAAAAGATGATGGAAATGCAACGAACGCGAGATGAGATATGAGATCAGGTGTCGCTGCGAAATTAAACTTGTGATAGACTCTTGTCAAAATTTAGAACTTTGCAATTCTGCAATTTTAGAATTAAAATTTTGGATTTAGACGGTGGGGAATTTCGGATTTGGGAAATTTGTTAGCGGGGTTTCGGGATTTGGCGAATTCTGAATTTAGGCAATTTTGAATTTGGGAATTTAGGGAATTTTGCATTGGAGATTTAAGAATTTCGGGAATTTATAGATTTGGGGAATTTTTGATCTAGGGAATTTTGAATCTAGGGAATTTTAGATTTGGGGAATTTCGAACTTGAGGATTTGGGAATTTAGGGAATTAACGTATTGGAGAATTTCGAATCTAGGGAATTTTGGATCTGGGGAATTTTGAACCTAGGAAATTTGGGACTTGGGGAATTTTGAATTTAGGGAATTTAGGTAATCGGGAATTTATGGATTTGGGGAATTTTGGATCTAGGGAATTTTGGATCTGGGGAATTTTGAACCTAGGAAATTTGGGACTTGGGGAATTTTGAATTTAGGGAATTTAGGTAATCGGGAATTTATGGATTTGGGGAATTTTGGATCTAGGGAATTTTGGATCTGGGGAATTTTGAACCTAGGAAATTTGGGACTTGGGGAATTTTGAATTTAGGGAATTTAGGTAATCGGGAATTTATGGATTTGGGGAATTTTGGATCTAGGGAATTTTGGATCTGGGGAATTTTGAACCTAGGAAATTTGGGACTTGGGGAATTTTGAATTTAGGGAATTTAGGTAATCGGGAATTTATGGATTTGGGGAATTTTGGATCTAGGGAATTTTGGATCTGGGGAATTTTGAACCTAGGAAATTTGGGACTTGGGGAATTTTGAATTTAGGGAATTTAGGTAATCGGGAATTTATGGATTTGGGGAATTTTGGATCTAGGGAATTTTGGATTTGAAGAATTTTGAACCTAGGGAATTTTGGATTAAGAGAATTTTGAATTTAGAGAATTTGGGCATTGGGAATTTAGGGATTTGGGGAATTTTCGGTCTAGGGAATTTTGAATCTAGGGAATTTTTTATTTAGGAAATTTTAAATTTGGGGATTTAGGAATTTAGTAAATGTTGGATTTGGAGAATTTTGAATTTGTAAAATTTTGGAATTGGGGATCTAGGGATTTTTGGGAAATTTTGGAATTGGCAATTTAGGAATATGAAAATTGTCGTACTTCTCAAATCTTCACATCTGTATTTGCAAAAATTCAAAAATATAAAAATTGCAAATCTATAACTTTCAGAACTCAGAATAAAAAAATCCTTGACGTTTGTACCCATAAAGAATCTAAAAAAAAAATGAAATTTAGTATTAAATATAAAGCATTCTTAAGCTAGCGTAAAAAAGCTTATCATTATTCGGAATGTGAAGAATTAGGAAAAGGCGAATTGTAACAGTTTCCACCCTTATTCTCATATCCCGTTATTATGCAAGTACGTGCACTACATTGAAATGTAACGTTAACGAAATATTATCGTGGAACTTGCTCGCGGCTATTAATGTTAAGAAGTTTCATTTTGTCCCAGCAATTTTATTCGCTTCGAATACCCCAATTACAATTTATATATTGTTCGCATCATTCTTTCTGTCCCGTACGATATATATTGGAGGTCTGCATTCTGCAACTAATAAATACAGATTAAACAAACTATCGTTCTCTGTCCCGATTCTTCCGTTTTGCGCTTTTCCCCAAAATATATCGCTTTCCTAGCAATTTTAATATCACCCGGTGCAATTTATGCGTGGACAATAACTAACGTGCGACGTCCAACATTTCCACTTACAATTTTCTTTTTTTTTTGGAAATTTTGCAATTTTGTAGTTTAATGTTTTCCTATTAATAGTTTGAATATTTCCGTGCTTAAGAATTTGAGATATTTGAGACTCTGAGATTCGAAGACGTTGAAACAATATTGGGATTGAAAGACAAATCCTTAAAAACGAATGAGGGGCTTTAAGATACGAAAAGAGTACTTGCGGTAATTCGACCTAATTCTCTGCTTGATTTCCTGGTAACGCGGCTGAACAATATGCGTGCACTCCTGAATTGAATCAAGGACCCTTTATCTCAACGATTACTCGATGTTTCGAAAATTCCTGCTACACGATTCTATTCGTAATTTCATCCATTTATTTCGCGTTCCATTTATACGACAACGAATTAGTATAATATAAACCTACTAGAGTTAATACTTATATAAATTTATATAATTATCTAGTACATCTGTACACTTGTACAATTATCTAATACATCCATACACTTGTATCATTACCTAATATTTTATATTCCATCCCAAATCCCAAATTCCCCAAATTCCAAAATTTCCCAGATCCGAAATTCCCCAGATCCAAAATTCCCCAAATCCCAAATTCCCCAAATCCCAAATTCCCCAAATTCCAAATTTCCCAAATTCCAAATTCCCCCAATTCCAAAATTCCCCAGACCCAAAATTCCCAAAATCCCTAAATTCCAAAATTCCCCAAATCTCAAATTTCCCAAATCTCAAATTTCCCAAATTCCAAAATTCCCCAAATTCCAAAATTCACCAAATTCCAAATTTTACAAATTCCAAATTCCCCAAATTCCAAAATTCCCCAAATTTCAAAATTCCCCAAATTCCAAAATTCCCCAAATTCCAAATTTCCCAAATTCCCCAGTTCAAAATTCCCCAAATCCCAAATTCCCCAAATTCCAAAATTCCCCAAATTTCCCCAATTCGAAAATTCCCCAGATTCAAAATTCCCCAAATTCCCAAATTCCCCAGATTCAAAATTTCCCAAATTCCAAAATTCCCCAAGTTCCAAATTCCCCAAATTCTAAAATTCCCCAAATTCCAAAATTCCCCAAATTTCAAAATTCCCCAAATCCAAAATTCCCTAGATTAAAAATTTCCCAAATTCCTAAGTACCCGAAATGAATTTCTCTTCGTTCTATAATGTATAATCAATAAATTCCATGTATCAATATTTTAATATATTATCTGTATCTTATATTTTCACTACACCAACATTATGCACGTCTTCATTTTCATTCCTTGTCACCCAGATTTCTCAACATCTGCCGGATTTTTCTGCTCTTCAGCACGGTTTCTATTAAAGGAATTAATTTTGATTCCAGTGGCAGCAAGGAATAAATGGAATATATGAAGCAGGATACGCGATATCATTGGTTGCACTGCTGCTCTCGTTAGGTATTCTGACGTACTTCCGGTAAGTCGATGACAGACGGATCAGCTTCGTTTCTTTTTTTCCCTTGGAAAAATAAAGCTCGAGAGAGCAGTGAAATCGATCTCGGTTCAATTCGGGATTCAGTTCTCGGAATTTATACGCTGGCGAGGTAAACAGACGAAAAGTTTACCTCTTGCATAACTTAGAGCGCATCTTTCACTCGGAATAACATGTTGTTTAAAGTTTCAATCCATTTGCAGTTCTATTTTGCACGCTCTATGCTTTTCAATCACTTTTCCATGTTAAGTCTGTTAGCAATTCATTTATACAGAAATTGTTAATAAATTACAGTATAGAATGTTATGTTGTTACAAAATAATTAATATTAACATCCTAGTTATTGCACGAGTCTCTTTTACATTTTTAATTTTATGTACGCGTTTGCAGTATTTCCGCGCTTTTTGAAAACTGCACATTTCGCGCCATCTGGCAATGCGCGGTAAAATTTCACTTTTCCATAAAATAAGCGATCTTTATTCCTTCGAGAGTAAATTTTCTCTGCATTTCTAATAATTCGATCACATTCTGTACTAGAAAAGCAAGAAAGTTACAAGTTTTGTGAAAAAGATCTTTCGATCTTATTGGTGTCATCGATCGTAAGATGGCGGCGTAGGTCAGTTCCCGCCGCGCGAAATTTCGAACCAGTCAAATAGAAAGATCACGTTTTACCAAACTCATTTGTTACTGTGACACACTATTCCTATATAAGTATTACAAAAACATTGATACTAAATTAAATATTTTAATAAAGAATTGAAGAAAGTTTAATTAAAAATTTTGCTAAGTAACTTGAAAAAATAGGTCGATCGATCTGTTCCTGTTACGTAAGGAATCTTAGTTAATCGTTCGTGATCAAAACTAGTTTCAACTGATTATCACAGGGCTTAAATTGGATCTAAGAGGTATGTTAGAACGGAAGTTCACGTTCTCAAGATTTACGTGTTACGACGGTTATTTATATCTAAAGTACTTTCAGAATTGTGAACATTACCTTTATCTATCTCTTTAATGACTAGTAATTACACTAATTTATTATCCTCCTTTAATTACGATTTATTCAACCCTATCTTTTGTACTTTCTTAAGACGTTATAAATCAATAATATTCATTATATAATTTTTGTTTAAAAGAATAAATAAAAGTATATTTGAAAGAATGTAATTTAACATGAAAATATCTTAGGGCTACTTAAATATCATATTAGACGTAAAATGTAGACTTCCACCATATTTTATCGTCCTTTTTTTCGCAGCTCGCTAAGATGCGCGAGGACCACTCTTCATATGAACCTTTTCGCCTCGTTCGCCGTAAACAACGCTCTTTGGCTTGTTTGGTATAGGTGCATCGTAGCGAATACGGATTTACTGTTAAACAATGGGGTACGTATGAAACTCTGCTTCCGTGTTTACACTTTAGTCACCACTTGACCCAGTAACTCACATATGAGTCCACCCATATGAAATATCAGAGCGTTTCTCTTACCACTACATGTTACGCGTCGTTAAATTTAAGAAAAGACATTTATATCTTATTTTTTATCTTTAATTCGAGCAATTATCAGAACGTTAGTGACAAAACAAATTTTGATCAATTTTCAGATAACCTGTCGTCTTCTGCACATAGTCCTGCACTATTTCCTGCTCACTAATTACTCGTGGATGTTGTGCGAGGGATTTTACCTACATACGCTTCTTGTCAGTGCATTTACTAGCGAGCACAGATTAGTAAAATGGTTGATGGGTCTCGGTTGGCCAGCACCGGCTATTATTGTTATGATTTATACTTGTCTGAGGGCTACCAGTGACGATCCCACCGATACCGAACAGTAAGTTTGCTTTGATTTCAATGATAATAAAATAAAATAGCAAAGTAAGTTTTCTTTTTAACGTCTTCCTCATCTAAACGATGATCAAACAGAATTTTGGAAATTTTTTAATTGGGGATTTTTGGGATTTGGCAAATTTCGAATTGGACATTTAGGGATTTGGGGAATTCTGGATCTGGGGAATTTTGGGATTTGGTGATTTAGGGATTTGGGGAATTTTGGATTTAGGAAATTTTGGATTTGGGGAATTTTGGAATTTGGGGAATTTTGAAATTTGGAGAATTTTGGATCTGGGGAATTTTGGAATTTAGGGAATTTTGGAATTTAGGGAATTTTGGATTTGGGAATTTTGGAATTTGGGGAATTTTGGATCTGGGAAATTTTGGAATTTAAGGAATTTAGGGAATTTTGGAATTTGGGGAATTTTGGAATTGGGGAATTTTGGAATTGGGGAATTTTGGATCTGGGGAATTTTGGATCTGGGGAATTTTGGATCTGGGGAATTCTGGATTTGGGAAATTTGGAATTTAGGGAATTTTGGGATTTTGGGATTTGGGGAATTTTGGAATTGGGGAATTCTGAATTTGGGGAATTTTGGGATTTCGGTAATTTGGGATCTGGGGAATTTTGGAAGTGGGGAATTCTGAATTTGGGAAATTTGGAATTTAGGGAATTTTGGAATTTTTGGAATTTTGGATTTGGG